GCGGACACAACATCTTTGTTTGTATGTGGTGCTGAGGATCGAACCTGGGCAGCACGCATGCCAGGCGAGCGCGCTACTGCTTGAGCCTCATCCCCAGCCCCTTATTTGAATATTKTATTGCATTTTAATCTTATTTTTAAGAAATGAAAGGGGAGCTGGGCAGTAGTGCATGCCTCTAATCCTAGCAACTCAGGAGTCTGAGACAGGAGGATTGTACGTCCAAGACTGATCTCAGCAACTTAGTGAGACCTGTCTCAAAATAAAAAATAAAAAGGACTAAGGGCTGGGTGCCATGCTACATACCTGTAATCCCAGCAGCTCCGGAGGCTGAGGCAGGAGGATCGAGATTTCAAAGCCAGCCCCAGCAAAAGTGAGGCGCTAAGCAACTCAGTGAGACCCGGTCTCTAAATAAAATACAAAATGGGACTGGGGATGTGACTCAGTGGTCAAATACCCCTCAGTTCAATCCCCAGTAACCCCTCCCCAAAAAGGACTAGGGTATAGTTCAGTTGTAGAGCACCCATGGAGTTTAATCCCCAGTACGGCAAAAAAAAAAAAGGGGAGGATTTAAAAATATTGATACCAGTAGTGAGATGTAAAGAACTCATATGACATGAGATAAAGATGGATAGCATCAGGAGCCAGTGTTAAGCCACAATCACACTTAACCTGATTGGCCATGGGTTTATGTAGGAAGGAAAGAAATACTCAAGAATGTGTATAAGACTCTGGGAATATATTGGTGAAGATTATGTGTAAAGACAAAATAATAACAGATTTTATATAAATATTTTTAGATTTCAATATATAGAACTCCCCTTATGATAATTTAGCTTTTTTAAAAATATGTATATATGTATACACATATATTTATGTACATATATGTATATATATTAGTTGTAGATGGACACAGTACATTTACTTTATTTATTTTTATATGGTGCTAAGGATCGAACCCAGTGCCTCATACATGCTAGGCAAGTGCTCCTCCATTGAGCTACAGCCCCAGCCCTCTATTTAGCTTTTAAATATATGACATTTTAAACTTTTTCAGGTATTCATTGTATACATATTTGCAGAAATGCATTAATTAGCAAAAGTAGACTATTTCGTAGCAGTCTCCATATATGCATAGAACCTGACACATTGTATAAGATGATACTTTCATCTTAACAGTAGGTTGGCCTTAAAGTATATACACTTTTTAAATTTAATTTAATTTAATTTTTTTGGTACTGGAGATTGAAGACAGGGGAACTTTACCACTGGGCCACATCCCCAGCCCTATTTTATGTTTTATTTAGAGACAGGGTCTCACTGAGTTGCTTAGCGCCTCCCTAAATTTCCAGGCTGGCTTTGAACTCTCCTTCCTCCTGCCTAAGCCTCCCTAGCTGCTGGGATCACAAGTGGGCGCCACCACCTAGTGGTAGCTAACTTTTTCAACTAAAATCTCTTTTATAACATATTCAAAAAGTTTCCAGGGGAAGTTAAGGTACCAGGATTTTATCACCATTTTTGAATTTCCAGTTCACTTTGGATTGATTATCGAGTTTTAAACATTATGTGATTAGAGTTTTGTTTTTTTTGTGGAACTAGGGATTAAATCTAGAAGTGCTTTACCACTAAACTACATTCCCAGTCCTTTTTATTTTGAGACTGGATCTCACTAAATTGCTGAGGGTTTCACTAAGTTCCCCAGGCTGACCTTGAACTTTTGATCTTCCTGCCTCCGTCTCCTGAGTCCCTGGGATTAAAGGCATGAGCTACCATGCCCCAGGTAATCAGAGTTTTAATATTCCATAAATTTATTCAATGTACTGAGTGACTTTAATTTTTTTCTGTAGAAGAAATTCAGTCCAAATGTGGTAGGATAGTTCAATTTGAGGAGGAGCAGCCCTGTTTTTCCTTTCATGCTGTATCTCTTTCTAGTAGGAAGTTTAGGGTCACAGACTGAGTGGGTAGCTCAGTGGAAGAGCATTTGCCTAGCATGTACAGGACCCTGGGTGTAATCCCTAGCACAATAAACAAACAAGCAAATAAATAAATATTTTTGAAAGTTTAAAGTCAAAGAAGATGTATTAATTCTATCAGAACAATAGGGTACCCCTTAGTTTTTGAGATAGGACCTCACTAAGTTGTTGAGGGTCTCA